CCATATATCGCCTTGTCACACTCCTACGTCGGCAAGTGCAGCGTAGGACCAGCCAAGGAAGCAGCCGTACCCATAAACCCAACATTTCCCAGACCAGACCACCATCTCCATCGTCTCTAGTAATACAACCAGAAGAGACCCCAGAGCTAACAGACCCGAGGAACAGCAGGCCTAGGCAAAGCCACCCTCCTCGCCCTTCTCGCCCACAACCCCTCGCACATCTACTTCTCCGGCCGCTCCGTCTCCTCCGCCGAGGCCCTCATCGCCTCCGTCGCCTCGTCCTCTCCCACGACGACCACTCCGCCGCCCCTGACCTTCGTCCAGATGGACCTAGCCTCCCTTTCGTCCATCCAGCCCGCCGTCGCTGCCTCCTTCGCCCACGACCGCCTCGACGTCCTCATCAACAACGCCGGCATCATGGCCAGCTCCGCGGGCCTCAGCGCTGACGGCTACGAGATCCAGTTCGCCACCAACCATCTCGGCCACGCCATGCTCGTCCGCGCGCTGCTCCCCGTCCTCCTCCGCACCGCCGCGCTCCCCGCTTCCGACGTCCGCGTCGTGAACCTGACCTCCGTCGGGTACCAGGGCCACCCGTCCGACGGGATATCCTTCGCGACGTTACGGACGACACAGACCGGGCCGCCGTTCCTGGGGCAGTGGACTCGATACGGGTAAGTCGGCCACGCGCATGTGCCCCCTTTCGTTTCCAGCGCCAGTGTCCGTTGTATTGGGCGCAAAAGTGCTGGCTGACACGCACTCCACCCCCTAGACAAAGCAAACTCGCCAACATCCTCTTCACCCGCGAGCTCGCCCGCCTTCACCCGTCCATCACCACCGTGGCCGTCCACCCGGGCGTCGTCGGCACAGGCCTGGTCACCAACCAGGGCTTTCTCAACCGCTTGCTCGTCAACACGACCAACAAGATCATGGGCGCGCCGATAGTCACGCCGGAACGGGGGTGCTGGAACCAGGTCTGGGCGGCGGCGGCGGCCAAGAAGGGGGACCTCGTGAGCGGGGCGTTCTACATGCCTGTGGGCACACTGGCCGACGACAAGCTGGACAGGTTCGCAAGGGATGACAAGCTGGCGGGCGAGCTGTGGCGGTGGACGGAGGACGTTTTGGCCGGGGTCTGACTAAGGAGGCTGTTGAACATGTAACCATTACGAGTGTTTCAACCACAAATATGTGTGATGCGATAGTTTTGTCTTAGATTCCAAATCACCAAAACCCCTTCCTTTGTTTTCATGGCACGCAGAAGCCGAAAGTCTACAGCATCCGGACGTTGTGCGGTCATGAAGTTGGCGGCCCGGAACCTCGCCGGCCTGACCTCGGACCCGGAGGGCCACCGGCGCATCATCACCGCAATTGTCCGTCCTGCCGGTGCCGCGTCTTAGACAGATTGCACCAGACGCCAGGACATACATGACAAACGGCAATCGACCATCGGTTGGACCTCAACGTCACCGGCGCACCCTCGTCCATCCTTTAAATGTCACCTCACTACATGGCGTCGCCAACGCGCACCATCGCGACGTGAATCACCGCCGGGTCATGCCACACACAATACACGACGAACTTACACGCATCCATCAGATCGACCGGCCGGCGGCCTGTAGCAATGGACGGCATCCAACGTTCCCCCTCTCTGGCAGCGCGGAGTCTCGGCTCACATCCAGCCTATCCCCAAGATAGGTTCATCGTCCGTCGCCGCCGTCGCCGCCGCTCGCCTTTCTGCCGACGTCACGACAAAAGGAGTTGGCATGCGACGCACGCGCCCTTCCACATTCCCAATCTCACGGCTCGCCGGTCGACAGGGTTGGCCTGCGGCGGCGAATGCCGGGGGGCGAGGGTTTTGTCACTTAATTTTACCCCGCCAAACACCGTCAACCATCGGTGACGCGGACCGCGCCATCAACCGCGTTGATTTGACACATTCGGGGAAATTGGGTAAACAAAACAACAAGCAATACCGAAATTTGTTCCTGTTGCGCGGTGCCCCGCCCATGCGTGAAATCCCGCGTGTGGGCTGTACCCTACGAGATACGGTCCTACAGACCGTATCGAATCAATGCGGTGCACTCGCACAGCACTGCTGTAGCTTGCCTGTCTTTGGTGCGAGCTCGTTATCATGGCAAAGATTCGCTCGACTCGGAATGTAACGCTGGAGGCCAAGAACAACATGGCGATTCGAGACAGAGTCACGGCCATGCAACCACTATCTGCCCCTGCGACAAGGGAGTCCAGATTCCAGTCCAAATCCGCCGTCTCGGGTTGCATTCCTCGACCAGGGGGACAACAAGCAGTCGACGGGCGACCCCATCAGCGGGCACGTGGGGACTGGGAAATCTCGTCGCCTTGCTCTCTCCGTCTCAGATTTCCAAGATATGTGGCGGCCCGCAAGCTCCAGAACTTTTTTTGTCCCCCTCCAAAGGGGAAGGGAATAGAAAAAAGTCTCTGGATCCCCGAACTCATCTCTGCCATGCTCTCTCGCCCTGTTTGTCAGCCCTGATCGACCATCCTGGCCCGCCCTGCTGGATGCCCAGGGTGGCCTCCCAGCTGGAGGGGAGAGGTGCAAATCGCGGAGATTGGGGCGGTCCAGCGTCGTGCGGAAGCGAGATAACGTCGCCCTGTTAGCGCGCCGACAAGGGAGACGTGGGACTATCGTCGGCAGCACCACGCTATACTGCACCGCACCGCATCGCTAGAGTCAGAGGCAATGCGTCAATGGTGCCGAGCGGGTTGCCTGGCGGAGTAGCAAAGCTGTTACCTACTCGTCCTGGGGATTGCACAAGTCTCCGAGCACGCACACGACCGGTCTAGCCTGTGGGGAGGATTCAATTTGGTTCGTTTTACCCATATTGTCTGACGTAGTCGATCTTACCATCTGGGGCTTCTCGTTGGCAACGATGAATTGCATCGTGGGCTGTGGATCGTTCGGATGGGGTGGCAACGGCGGTTTGTTTCCGGGGCCAGCCGGGGACAAGCAACTGCGAGGCCGAAGCATGATGTTTCTCGAGGGTCGGTAGTGGACTTGGAAGTATGATTCCACGGAGGACAAGATTCGGGTTGCTAAGTTGGGGTTGCAGCAGACGAAAGATCAGAAGTACCGCTCCCATCAGGCCGTAGCCGCCGTGTGAACAGTCCAAACCGTGTAGACTTTCGGGGTTCTATGCCGTCCTCAGTCGATACGATAGCCCGTCTGCCGGCAGACTATCCGTCATCCTCAAAATATCCCTCGTCTTCCCCAGCGATCAGCCCTGGGGCAAGCCTTGCCAACAACGTGCCGTCTCGTGTGGGTACGGGCCATGGGCCGTGGAGACATGTTCTAGTGTCATGCTGGGAGAGGAGGACAAAAAAAAAAAGCATTGGACCGTGAAGACGATTGAAAATCTTAATGACTGGGAACGGCCCGGATTGTTCAGGGTCATCATCAGATGAACTGCGAACAACGCATCTCTGCTGGACCCCATACCTTCCCCAGTCAATCAAGCTGCGACAGCTTCAATCTGCGGCTATGCCGGGCCATCTGGACCCAGGTCACCAACATTCATGCCGTGATCGAGGACCAGGATCGTCCTTGAAGCAGGCGGGGATTTGAAATCTGTTTCAATTAGCGGGATTTCTTGCCTTTCATCGACAAAGATTCCATTGCTCTTTTGCCAAATTCGTCGCCTCCACTTGCCTATCGGACATTGATTACAATACGATTGTGCTTAAATTCAATGCTTGTAGAATTGAATACTATCTGAACGAGCACTGCCGAACGGGTCCTATGACAACCATTCCGCCATTTGCCGCCAAGAAAGTTTGCGGACCTGTCTTCCAGAGGTGTATTTTAATCTACACCAGGATGACGATCCCAACAGTCTGCCGGATGACTTTGCAGCCTAAACAACCAGCAGTCATTTGCCTAGGATTCAGCGCAAACTCGCTTGCGATATTGCAGCAGCCTTGCGTATGCTCATCCTCATGTCGGAAGTCCTTGGCTGCCCTGTCTACCTGTCCGTTGGTTCGGCGGCGCTAGCCGATAAAAGCCTTGAACTGGGCTATTCGACGGTCGTCAAGTCCAACTAGTTGGCCGCCCCCAACATTGGGGTTTCGCACGCGTAGCGGATACCGGGCTTGTATGACCTGAGATATATGCCCGTCTTGTGCACGTATCCATGTGTGTACGGGGATCATCGCGGGCATGCTGTTCGCTACACTAGCTAAAGGTTTTCTTGTTCTTCATCGAAATCCCTCCAAGACTTTTCTTGCTTGTTGTCCGCCTGGCTGGGATGGATTTAGCCTTTTCTTTTTACGTTGGAGAACTAACATACGCAAAGTTTATAATGATTGCTCTCCGGCAAGAGCAGCATCTCATTACATCCTTTCTAGCGGTGGAAAATCGCGGGAGACCAAGTACTGGTGAACGAAGCCGTTATCCGGCGCACCATCTCTTGGCATAAAGCCTGGGACGGAGTGATCGCCATTTTGAAGGGGAAAGCGTCAGGAACTGAGAGAATTCCTATTGGGCGCGGAAGTTCACGGCTGATCCGCAGGGATGAACCGGGGGAAAGAGATGTTTGCATGTTGAGCTGCCCTTCATCGACGTTTGAAAGGGGGTGTGAGTACAAGATTGTCGCCGTTCGCTTGTGAACAGCCTGACAGTGCCCCTTTGCTTGGCTAGCGGTAAGTGGGAAGACTTTGAAGCTGAAGAAGACCAAGTGGTTGCTGGTTGCCGTCCATAATCACAGAAACTTGGCTCCCCCAAAAACCAAAAGAGGAAAAAAAAAACAAAAAAACAGCCTCCAGATATCCACGAATCAAGTTGCGGATTTGCATAATTCGTGAAGCCAACATCGTGTGTCCTGACGGACGGAGGCGCAGCTTGGAGCCGTTCGAACAGGGTCTTCAATATAACCCAAGAGATTGGCTTGGTCCGGACAAATGAGTTGGCAGATCGGGAACTGTGGGTTACTTTTACTTGTGTCCACCGCCGAGGCGCAAATTGTACAGACATGGAGCAACCGTTGGGCAATCCCGACTCGATGGAGGAAGATTATTCAGAGACATCTACAGGCAAGGCGTGGGCCCGAATTGTTCTGCCGCAATCGAGTGCCGCCTCTTCCGCGGAGCCTTCCAGTCCTCGTCCCGCCTATGGCCCCAAGTCGCCGTGGGTCCAGGCCGGTAGAGGCCCGAAGCAGAGGGCCTGATAATTTAAATCCCGACCCACGAGGATGCAGTAGTCTTGCGAGATCGAATGATCCGGCTCCCAGCAACGAGACATGCAGAGTTTGAAACAGACGCCGCCGACATTGAAACGCGAAGCCGATGGTTGTACCAGTTGACAAGAGGAAGCCTGCCGGTAGCGATGATGGAATTGCCTTTTGACTACCTAAATCAGCTGGAGCTTTTGAACCCGCCCCAGTGAGGAAAACGCGGGGGTTGCATGGCAGCACGGGCGATTCGCAAGGTGGGCGTGGGCCGACGCTGACCAGGTAAACCGTGTCACAGTAGAGACAATGAGTATTTGTCCCGATCGGCTAGGCCAGACTGCAAAGGGCTACGACTAACAGCGATTGCGCTTGAGTCTAAGCGATGTGTACGCTGATTTCCGTGTTATTATGCGCGTCTCATTTCCCTTTGCCCACAAACGACGGCGGCAAAGAACCATTCGCAAGGGTGAAGTTTAGAATAGGGGACAGGGGGAAGACTAATACAATAGGGGCGCGGGGGAACACCAGATAGACAGACACATCTTCGACCTCGGGTGACGCCGCCGGGATGCAACAGCCACCAAAAGACGACTTGTGATGCAAGCTGACGACAATGGCGTAGATAAGACTGGCGTTCCTGCGGCTCATTCGATCTCGTGTCAAGCAGCAAATAACGACCAAGGGCAAGCCTGAAGGACTTTGGGTAAGTAAATCAGTGTACGAGTATTGCGTCGCATGTTTAATTGGTGGATGACGGAGTTGGTTTCATTGCGCTTGATGCAAGGACGCCGCCACCAGAACGGACCGTACCCTCGAACGACTTGAGGCTGAACCAAAAAGACCACTGCACGCAGATGGTGAGATTTTGAAAGCCGTGAGCGCCCCATCGTAAGCCAGCCGGGACTGGAAAAAAGGGGTCCAAGGGACAGGTGCAGCGCAGGGCGTCACACAACGTCGCTCTCTGCCCTGGAAATATACCCAGTGCAGTCGCATGAGATTGGCAAGCTCGCTTTAACAGACGAAAAAGTCGGGGTGCAACTTTGAACAGACTTCAGTCGAGCCAGGCCTTTCCTTGCGGCTGCTGGAACTGATGATCTTGAACGATGAATTTCGGCCATTGCTATTCATATGCTCCCGACCGCTACATATAGGGGAAGAGCTTGCGAGCCATCCAGAGAGTGCGACAATCTTGCAACGGTTGGCGCGATGGTTCGGCGGAGTGGTGAGACAAATTGGTGAAGTGACGGGTTGTTAGTGAGCCCCTAGGTTTCTTGGTGATTTTGCAGACACGCCCACTCTTAATGCGCGTCTCGGCGCTTGTCAATCTACCAATCCAGGTGCCCAAGTCAATGCTTTCCACGACCTTTTAGCAATCAACATGGAAGCGTCGATGCAGGCTGGGTTGGAGTGTGAACATCGACAGAGACGGCGAGCGCTGCAAGCTGGCCCAAGCTGTCTATTTTTAAGGTTAAAGACGCTCAACGAGGGCGATGTCAGTGACCACAGAGGAGGGTTATGCCCAATGGAACCGCTGAACCGTGTGCTTACCGGCCAATGCTGGAGCTATGGCGAAAGCGTGGCTCAAGATAACGCATAAGATGCCGGCATCCGTAACAGTGCCGGACCGTGTATAAGCATTCAGGAGGATCGGGCGTACCTAGGTGTGCAATAAGGTGTGGGATGCAGCCAGCTCCCGTTGATGCTAGAGCCACACCCCTGTCTTGATCTCGCGTTTGACCAGAGGAACGGTATTTGGCGACGTGTGAGAAAGAAGCTTCCTTGGGCAGCTCGCAACGAAGGGGAGGGATGATTGAACATGAAGACTCGGGGTTAGACGTCGTAGCAGTGATGTGCGTGTGTTCCGGAGCGGAACGAAGCAAAGCATGCGGGCAAAGTTGGTGTGGAGTAGAAGCCAGCCGTTCAGCGAGCGCAGGAGGGAAACAGGCGGATGGCTGGGAGCAAAAATTCCAGGGACACTGAATGCTGATGTTTATGGTTGAACTCGGCAGCAAAGAGTTTCGTCCGTTTGTTGTCCAGGGCGAGAATGAGATCAGATAGGCGACGGGAAGAACAGCCTTCGCCGACAAGTATGCGGGACGAGGGGACGGCAACAGCTCTCGCTTGCTTGCTCGCTCGCGATGCAAAATGTTTCGTCCGAAGCTGACGATCCATGGTCGAGGCAGTAGATTTGCGAGACCTGAAGCTGGCGGGAGGGGATGGTACAGTCTCACGGAAGGCCGGCGAGACTGCCGAGCAGAAGCGGGAAGGGGATGGTGAAGCGGCAATGTTGACAAACTCGACGAGAGGAGGTGCTTTTTCTTAACACGACCACCATGCTTGATAACAAACACTTGAGGCGGTCTTTGGTGATGGCGATGGTTGAGAGGCGAGCGGTGACATACGAGGCCTCAGGCGCTGCCGATCAAGAGCATGTTGGCGTTGAGGCGGTGTCATAGGTAAGCGCGGGTGCGTGCCGGTGTAGGGTGATGACCAGGCATGTTTCTTCTGTTTGCCGCCCTTCGAACATGGCAATCTGGCTTGGTGTTGCAGGGTGGTGAGACGCTGAATTTGTTTTGATGATAATTCCTTCTTCAGGCCGAGTCTGGGAGGGAGGAATGGCCAGTGTTCCTGCCGGGTCGTGATGATGCGCCCCCCCTCCCCGTGCTAGTTCGAGACGATTGCCGGAAGGAGCACATGACCTGCACTCGTACATGCTCTGGCCAGTACTACTGTAGGTAATACTCCTGCTTCCTGCCCGATCTCAAGCAAGGGCGGGTAGCTAGGCTGCGCACACTTGCACTTGCACCTAGTTTACCTGCCTGCAGCTGCAGCTTCACCTGCCGTTGGGGGCGCAGGCGCGTACGCACTGGATGCTCCTGCCTTCCGGTGTAGTGGGTGGAGAGCCCTGATCTCAAGGGAAGGGACGGGGTACGTACCGCGCCTCGCCGCCGTTGCAGTTGCGTGTGCCCGTGCCCGTGCCCGAACAGCTGACTAAGGACGGATATGCTTGTGCTGTGCTGTGCTGTGCTGCGCTGCTGCCTCGAACGGGCGGGGGAAAAAGAGAGAGAGAGCGAGAGAGTGAGTGAGAGAAAGGGCAAGAGCGGAAGAGAAGGAGGACGCAAAGGCTGGCTTGCTCTCCAGCCCCCCCCTGCGTTGCATTTGCATGAACATGAGCCTCGTACCGTACTATGGTTCGCATAGGACGAAGCTCCTGCATTCGGGCTGAGATGGTCTTGTGCCGGGCTTTGCGTTTGCTTTTCCTCCCTCAGATGGCCCAGAAACATTTAGGACGCAGGAGGAAATGTGGATGGATGGATGGATAGAGACGCTGCTGGACTGTGCATCCCCTGTCTCCCCTGTCGCCCCTGCCTTTCTCCTCGCCACCGTGTACCTACATAACTACCTACCAAATGAGCAAGTACAGTGGTACCACGGCACTTTTCTGCAGCCCAATTCGTGGAAGGAATCACCGGCTGTGGACGGTCCGTGGCCAAGATGCCTACCCACTGAACAGAAGTGGGCAAAAAAGAGAGACACTAATTCAGGAGTGTCCGCCACAGAGAGAGAGACACACACACACACACACACACCGGGGACAGAGAGGAGTGGAGAAGAGAGGAGAGGAGAGACAGACCCACCTCGAATTTGACAGTTGACACCCCTGGCAATCAATCCATCTGGACAAAGTCGCCGGCGTCTCGGAGCTGTTATGCCTCACACGCGGACCGTCACCACTTGCGTGGGCATGCACTAACAGACGCCATCATCACCACCACCACCAAACGGCTTTTCCCCTGGCTTCCTGCTTCGCCCGCCAATAGGTACGTACAGGCCAACCCACGACAAACCCCACCCGCGCTACACCACAGCTGCAGCTTGAACTGGGGTCCGGGTCCCTTGCATTTTGCATCCAGACCAGACCAAAGCCAGACAAGCCCAGGAACAAGATGCCAGGGCTCGGTAGGCCACCGGCCGGGTAACACCGCACAGGGGATCTCTTTTGAGCGTCCAGCCGGGGCCAATCCCGCTCCTCCTCTCCCTCTTTGCTCTTAGCGCCCCCTCAAGCGAATCAAGCCCTCTACCTACCTGTACCGGCACTAGGTCCTGTGTAATACCTCCTAGTACTACCGACGTGTTCACTAGGTACGTCCAAACCAGTCTCGTCCCGCCTCCTGGTCTGCTGATCTGGTCGATGAGATAATATGCCGTGGCCTGGTGGGCGGACGGAGTATTTTTCTTCATCGCCAGTTCTGGGTGTCTCTGAGCCCTGCGACGTCGTCCGGCCTGTTCAGCTGCCTTGCTGCTTGGGTACAGATGCTGTACAGACAATTGGACTGACCAGGTCAGGGCCTGTCCGGCTCATCATAATCATCATCATCATCATTATCTCCTCCATCGTCGTCGCCCTCTTGCACCCCTCGGTATCTCTCTCTTTTCTCTCACTCCCTCCCTGGCCCACCCTCCCTCTCTTTTCCTCTCCTAGGTACTTGCTCTCACTTCCACTCAGTGTGTCCCGACACTCTTGCCGCCATTTCGCGGCCACTATCTTACCTTGCCGGCAGATAAAACCCAATCTCATCTCACACGCTCACGCTCACGCTCACGCTCACGCTCACGCTCACGCTCACGCTCACGCCCACGCCCACGCCCGTGCCGTCACATCACACCTCACCCTTCAATTGCACCCCCCCTGCTCTACCCATCCGTCCCGCTGTGCAGCGTCCATCCCAGTCCCCCGACTCTCGGCCCCTGGTCCTCCTCCTGACTGACCATTGGACTGGTTTGTCTCTTGTTCTGTGAGTGCGCGCGCTCTGCCCTTCGCGTCCCCCTCTCCCTATCCCTCTCACACCCCCCGTTCGTCGCTCGGATTCTCCAATTTCTAGTGCCTGTCACCCAGTCTCTGCCCTGTTATCCAGGTCCACTGCTCCGCTATTCTTCTTTTCCTTCCTGGGTCACTCCTTTCTCTCCCGTCACTTCCAATCCTCGCCGTCGCCAATCACTCACTTTCCTTCACTCGCTTGCCATTCCTTACCCTGTTCCTCGAGAGTCGGGAGTCTGAGTCTGATTTTCTGATTCATCTAGTAAACCGACCCCAAGTCATTCGTTTCTCTTTCTTCTTCTCTTACCCAGGTTTCGTTTTTGTTTGCCTGTCAGGGAAAAGGACAGGGAAAAACAAACCCTCCCCAATTCAAGAGATCGCCCACCTACCGACCCGAGTCCTTCTTTTGTACACCATCTCGCCTCGTCTCCCAGTTCGCCGTCTCTCGACTCGCAACCCAGCCAGTTCGTCGCTGCCGCTGCTCGCCGCCCGCCTTTGTCTGTATCTCGTCGACTCATTCAACATAGACATACGTACGGCATTGCGAGCTTTGGCGTCTGCGGACTTTTTGAACCGCACAAACAACATTGGTCGACCGGGATTGTCGTATTACACCCCGACGGAACCTCTCCCTTTCTTGTCAGCAAGGGCATGATACAGCAGCCTTTTTGCTTCTCTTCTTCTCTGGGAACACCTATCCGCCGAATGCAAAACGTCTAGCCCCAGTTCTTGCATCGCGTGCAACCACTGGACCGAAGTCGCCGTACCACACACACTGTCTGCTGCCAGCCTTCTGTGCAGGAGACCATTGGATTCCCGTACGACCTTGGTTGGACCTTGGAGAGTTCGTGATTTTCGAGCGGCCGTATCTATTATCGATACTCGTCTCGACGTCTCCAATCGAATATCTCTCGACTTCCGCCTCACGACTTGAGAACAGCCATAAGCTCACATGCGACTTTGACAGCCGAGCAAAACTCCATCCTGCTGAAACGCTCCCGACACAGCACGACCTCTGATCCAGGTATGTTCATGTTCATATCATGACATTCTCGCCCCCCATCCACCCCCCCCCCCCCCCCCCCCCCCCCCTTGCCTCTTCTTCCCAGTGCGGGTGTTGCTCTGCCTTGGATACCTGTTGCATTCATCCCAAAACTTGGCCAGTGTTTTCGTCCCAATTCTGCCCAGCTGCGACGGGGCTTAAGCACAGCTCCAGCGTCTCCGACGCATTGCTGAACTCAATCGCTGCCTCGCTGCCTCTTCGCGTCGAAATCTTTTTGGAGCTGAGACCGGAACGTGATCGTGTACTCAAGGGTTCCTGTCAAATCTTTGCTGACGACTCCGCTCTTTGCGTGTGTAGGCATCTCAACTTCAGACGCTCTCTCGACCAATCATTCCGAACGACATTGCCCGTTTCAAACAAACTACTCGCCTTTCGTCCCAACTTCCCATACCATCCCGACGAGCCTTAATCGCAGACGCCTAATGAAGAACTGCCATTCCCGAGCTCGATAAACTGCCTCGAAGGAGAAGAAAAAGGGGACTCTCTAACGGACCGACACATACACTTGTCTGTGCAGGAAATACCACAGTAATCACCATGAACAGATTCCGTACCAAGAAGAAGGCGAAGGAAGATGCTGCCTCTGTGCCGAGGGCTTCTCACGAGTCGGATTCTCCCACACCTTTCCGCTTGTTCGGCAAGGGGAAGAAATCCCAGGAAGAGGAGCCGAAAAAGGAGCTGGACCTGGAAAACGCGTTACCGCCGAGCGACGATTTCCGTACGAGTTTGCTAATGACGGGCCTCTCGGCACGATTCTCTATGCTTAGAGAACAAGACGACCCGAACACCAAGATTGGCAAGGCCAGCGACGACAGCGTCTTGTTCCCCAACCGGCAGTCGAGGCTGATGGACTTCGGCTTGGGTGCAAGTACCAGTGGACTTTCAGATATCGCCGAGGTCGAGTCCATCAGGAAAGAGGCAGCACCCTTTGCCCGGATGGACTCGTACCACTCCGCAGACGCCAGCTCAATCTCGGGAAGCGTCATGGACCGAGCCAAGCCTGGCGAAGGCAACAACTTGTTCGGCGGACGACAAAAGGTTTATAAGCTTCCCTCCGGAACTACATCCTCGAAGAATCTCGAGGGCGGCGGTATGAGTGGGCGTGTCCTCTACGACGACGACATTTCCAAGTCGGCTTTTCAAAGATGGAGACAAGCTGAGAAATCCAAAATGTCCTTTGATGATGAACAAGACCAGACACAGTCGAGTATCGACCTAACGCGCGCCGAGTCTCCCCCGCCTACGGGCTACAACAGCAAGCGGGAGACCAACTCGACAACGTCGTCTACACCGTCGGTCGGTCGTAACTCTACTGCGGCGACCTCAGTCATGTCTCAACCCACATCTGCGGCAAAGGACTGGCAATCAAACTCGACCGCGCCCAGCTCCACTGCAGGTACCCCTCATCTGGAAAGGACCTACACTCGCACACGGCGCCTCTACGAGACTGGACTGAACCACGAGCTTCAAGAACAGCAATCATCAGCCTTGTCGCGCATGGACACGCTGTCTCGGCAGAGGAATTTCGGTAGCAGGACGCCCGACCTACAGAATGGGCCGTCGCCAACAAGCAGTCTCTTCAACGACCGATTCGGGGAGAGGAGAGTCCTTACCAAGGGCAGTGCTCCCAACTTGCGGTCCGTAAGCCCGCCAACCTCTGGGAGTCCGATCCCTCCCATGGATTTGGGCATCATGAACCCGGAACCCAAGCCGTCGTTTGGCGGCGCGCCGCCTTTGAGCCCTCCCATCAGCGAAGGCGAGGAGAACTCCATCCTGCCCGGTGACCGGGGCAAGGCTACCGCCATGGGATTGTTTCAAAAGCCTCTCCATTCGTACGACGAATCGCGGTACGCCCAAAGACAGCTCCAGCTTCAGCAAGGCCGTGAGACACCGACCAATAGGTTCCGTGCCGAGTCTAATGCCTCTCACACCACCGGTCGGTCGCGCTCGTCTTCCTCGGCTCAAAGACTGCCGGTCGAGAAGCCCGAGCCCATCCTTCAGACTGAGCCGACTGTGAAGGAGGAAGAGGCCGGACTGAGCTTCTACGACGACTCGATCTCTCCGCAAGACGACAACGCAAGGTCCGCTGCGGCCTTCCACGGCGCGTCGAGGCGGCCCGCCGATCGCGATCATCCCGCACTGAGAGAAACCTCCGTACCGACTCCCTTGTCTCTCAGCTCCAGACCCTCCGCTGAACCATCGCCCGTATCTGACCCGACTCTTCCTCTCGCCTCTGTCGTGTCCATTGAGTCTCAGGCTTCGTCTCAAGACTCCCCAACCCTTCCCTCGTCAACTGGACTCAGTGGTATGGTTCGCCAGCACCTCCGCACCGACAGCGCGACATCCTCCCTCTACGGATCAGCACCGCAGACGTCCCACTTCGCTTCCAGATTCCCACTTGACCCATATGACCCCAAATCCATGGCAGACATGGGAGTCATGGCCAATCCTTGGGAAGTTCAATCTCCGGATTGGAGGAACTCGACCTTCAACGGAAACGATGAGGCCGAGAACGAGCAGAAGGAACAGCCCGTTCCTCAGCCTCGTCAAAGCCTGCCATCCGACAACCAGAATGCATCGGAGCGCAACACGGGCTCAAGCACTGAGATGGAAAAGGAACACGACGAGTTCGCCAGCCAACTTGCGGACGGCGCGCGTCGGGTCCGCGAGAGACTCACGTCGTACGTCGAGTCTGACCGTGACAGTCGATCTCTGTCACCCAATCCCGTGGAGCGTGTTAGAGAGCCGTCCCTGCCTCGCCCAAACCCGTTGGGTATTCTGAGGCAGAAGACGAGCCGCGGTTCCTTGATTGACCGCAACCGGGAAAACCGTCAGGACAGCCAGCACTCCAAGGCTATTAAGATGCTTGGCCTTGCTTCTTCGACTATCAGCAGCGCCCCTAGCCCGAACAAATTCAGCTTTGAGGAAAAGGAGACCCAGCCCCTTGTCCACGAGGAGCGCGAGAAGCCTCTCTTTCCCAGGTCCGAAACGACCCCAGTACTCCCTTCGCAGGAGACGAACAAGGACAAGGAGGACGAGTCAATGCATGCTGGACTCAGGGCCTTCAGGCAGGCCAGAAAGCAGTTGTTGGAGGCTCAAAAGAGTGCCTCGAATGTCCCGACGGTACCTGGTCAGTTGCCCAGTTCCATGACGAGCCCGATCGTTGGCCCGCCGGCCTCGCGGACCGCCCCTAGCCGTGAGCACACTCCCAGCCAGCGATCCGCCTCCCGTGACCGACGACCGCCTCCTATCACATACCAACAGCGGGCCCCCAGTGAAGAGCCTCAGCCCAGCAACGGCGTGGGACGAGCGGCGTCTCGGCCTCCTTCCCGGACGGAGCGCGAACGCAGTGGTTCGGAAGCCAGTAACGGAGACAAGTCTCATCGTCCCGCCCGGCTCCGCACCGGCACCGCTTCATCTCCATATGAGGACCGCGGAATGGGCCTCAGCCCTAATGGGCCCTCTTCAGGTCGGCCCACGTTGTTGCAATCCCCTGGCCTCCCCGGCACTAACATCCGTCGGTCTCCCATCATGCCTCCTCAGCCGTACCCCACGGGTCCCGCGAAGCCCCTCGACCGGTCCGCTTCCTCGGGCAACCTTGCTATTCAGTACCGTCGCAGAGGACCCGATTCGGGGCAACCTTCTCCGGTCTCTCCCATGGCGCCCATCCCTTCGCCCTCGATCCCTGTCAGTCAGTCTACACCTTCTTTCGTTCCCTCTCGTCGACCTTCAGCACCTCCCATCCCGTCGCCCAACTCCGAGGCCCCTGTCGCCAACCGCCTTGATGAGTCCATGAAGAGGGTGGTCAGGAAAAGGGACATTTCCGAGCCAACCTTTGTTTCGTCCACCTCGCGGGTTCCTACCGTGGCCCTTCCGGAGACATCGGAGTCGCGCTCCAGAAGCGGTTCGCGTTCCAGGTCCGGCAGCGTTCTCGGCGCCGCTGCTTCGACACCCAACCTCCACGCCAACATGCTTGCTCACGCCAACGCCCCCCCTGTTCCTCCCATCAACCCTAAGCGCCGCAACATGATTGGCTCTATGATGGGTCGCAGAGGCGAAGAGGACATGAGCGCCAGCTCTCCCCTTTCGCCACCGCTTCCGATTCCCAATGAAAAAGGCGCTGACAGCAACAGCGCCTTCTCCATCAGCGATGACGAAGATGGCCCGGGATCCCAGCGACGCCGGCTTCGGAAGACAATCAGCGAAGCCAACGGCATGAACATGCGGGCCCGCCTCACCCGTGGCAACAGCCCTCCCAACATGCCTGCGCCCACAGCCATGACTGGCGGCCTCAACAATGGATCCATGCCCGGCGGCATGATCTAAACTCTCACCAGTTTGCCACGAAACTCTCTACCTCAACTCTAATCATCTTTCGTTGTTATTGAAAAAAAAGGTTGGCGGGCAAAGAAGGAGAATACGGTCATCACGAATCTATGAGAACGTTTGTTGTATTTTGCATTGTCTTCTTCATTTACCCACAACGGGTCGTACGATTACGTTGTTCCTATTGTATATTTCTTATTCTTTGTCACTCTTTCTCTCGGGCCGCGGCACCTCTGTGCTCAGCCTTGTTGATTTTCGGCTCCTGGAGGGAGTCTTAATTGGGCGGGGTCCTCAACTTTGCGGTGTGCCTGCTGAATGTCTTTTGGTGGTGGGCCTGGCGTCTACCGTGGGCAATATCTTAACGTTGGTAGGCAAGGCAGGTTGTTTGAAGAATACCAGAATCTTTCGAGACTGTGGCCGGGGCTGGCGGGTTAAGGACGGAGTGCGATATACCATGTACTAGAGTGAGTGTAGTGGAGCAATCAAACCTTTCAGGATCAACATCCAACGTCTGTGAACCGGGACCATGTGATGATAAGTGTGGCTGACGCGTGAGGGGCTTTGCCAGGGTAAAATGAGGGAATCCCCGGCTCCTTGGGTAGAGGGAATCGCAAAAGTTGTGCTTGCTTGTAATGAGGAGGCTTGGCCGGGCTACATCTGCGGTCCATCCTTCGGCTGACGGACTCGTTTTCGAGGGTCCCGCTCTGGTCAATATGCTGCCCACGCAGCAAGAGTTGCGGGTGTCGTCGAATCTGTGGTTCCATACTACGGGCTGTTGGCAGAAAACGATCACGCCGAAGACGAGACACGACGGTCGTTGACTATGACTGGCGGTGAGCTTAATTTGAGCTTGGTTTTTTTATAAGACTAAGAAGGCAGTTTTGTCCTAGAGCATGGTATTATGTGCATGCGAAACGCTTGGCGACACGTAGATATCACCTTTCACGACGCAAACACGAAGATTCAACATGCGAAAATGTTCAGAGGCTGTGCTTGTCTGGTATTCACGTTGGTGGGCTATGTTGTTTCCCAACATGTGATTCCACAAACCTCATAATATCTCGGGCCGTAGCGAATTGTTGCAGGTCGTACTCGGCAAGTTTGATCTTCGAGCTTGATCTTCGTGGCTGCCGATGGCCAGGACGGGGACGGCGGGTAAGCACGGTAAATGCGGGGAGAGATGGGTCGCCTCGGCCCGGAATGCCGGCCGGCCTGGCCTGATAAAACAACGGGTACCGGTGCGAGACGAGCCCCTCCATGAGACTTCACCTCTCATACACCTTCCCACTCTGCTTGGCTCGGTGCCCTCGGATTCCCTCGGTCGGCTCCCAAGAGGCCTGTGTACGGCTCATTTCAATTCCGCTTATCCAAGGAGATCGTTTCCGTTCCATCCTTGGCCAAATCGAGATACCCCACTACCCCGCAAAGACCCCAAGACCAGAACCACCGCAGCAAACGTCCATCCGCCATTCCGCCGCCTCAGACACTCAGCAACATCGCTCATCGCCGCCCAGGAACATGGCTTTCATCCGCCCTTACAAGTCGTCCGACTTTGACGCGACAGGGCACATTGTACATCCCTACCTTCACTTCCCCTCACCCACACGCCGACATGACTGACCCCAGCCCAGTGCCGCGCAACGCTCCCGCCCTCCCTCGAACACTCCGAGGCAGCAGTCAGGACAGCGCCCTACCTCTGGACCCACCAGTTCACCCTCCTCTCCCCTTCAACCTGCCACATCCTCGACGACGGGCAGGGCAACGCCGTTGGCTACTGCATCGGGTGCCCCAACGTCAACAACTTTGCCGAGGCCTACCCGCGCTACGTCAAGGAGGTGCTCGAGACGTCCACGGAGCTCGCGGGGCGGAAGCCCGCGAGCCTGGCGGCCAAGGCCCCGTGGAACGTGCCCGAGACGGGCGAGGTGAACGAGGAGGCGCTGCTGCAGCAGGCCTTCAACCCGACGTGGCTGGTGCTCGACGACGAGAGGCGGGACCTCTGGGGCGGGTGGAGGGCGACGATGCACATTGACCTGCTGGAGCCGTGGCAGGGCAAGGGATGGGGGCGGAAGCTGATTGACGCGTTTGTCGAGAGCCTGAGGGAGGCGGACCGGGCCCAGGGCGGCGAGAGCGGGAAGCGGCTGTACGGGAAGGGCGTGCACATTGGTGTCGCGGAGGATAATGCCAAAGTCGTGCCATTTTATGAGAAGTTGGGGTTCCAGGTGTATCCCACGGGGCAGGGCTCGATCTGGATGACGAGGGATATTGAGTAGATGAGGCGGCTTGTATTGTTACGATGAACTGCTGGCAGGGCAGTATGGCTAGCTGCTACGTTTCTCTTTTAGGCAGCTCAATGTCATGCAATGTGACTCAAACAGAGATTTAACTATGCCATCGTAATGGTTCTGCAAACATGTAGTCATCACATCTCAATCTTGATCGTGTTGATGAAAGAGTTGGCGTAGGGGCTAGTCAGTCCGCTTGCAGTCGATGTTCCAACACCTGTGAACGTCGTATCCCAGAATGTTGAACCAACCGACTTACTTCTCGAGGTTCTTGTTACAGAGAGGGACGTGGCGTGATTGTTTGACTATTGAATAGTGGAATAATATGCAGGACAGACACCAGCCTGATCTGCTTATGTTCCTGAATGATTGGCTGGTTGGGTTGAGTAGGCAGGCAATGCACAGCCACAGCTGACGGTGACGGTGAGGCAGCCAAAGGTTCTGATCTTAGGCCATTTTGTTTTCTTCCAGCTTCGCATCTGTTTTCTACAGAGAACCGTCGTCCTCTGCGATCGTATCCATCAATCATCGACTGAGTTTGTATCAACTTCCCCCCATGCATCGCTCCTAGCAGCTACCCACGCTGGGGATTCGAGACCAGAATGGAATACTTGCCTTATCCGACCAACCCAGCGTTACCGCCCATAAAAGTTCCATACCTGCCCAGGTATAGGCTGGATGATGGTGATTTTGACAGTTTCCCCATACGGTTGGACCTCGGTTCAACGCAATCTACCTTCTTGTTCACCGACATGCCACTGCGTGGGAAAGCCGCGTTGGTTCAAGAATGGCTGTTCTTTGGATTAATCGACAAGTTGACCGACGAACCATTGAAGCGATCCGCTTTTGTTCGACAAGGCGTCATCGACGGTGAAGCTTGCGACATCGTTGACGCATCGCCAGTCGTCGACCTGCTTGACCGATTAACTGCTCAACTACGTTGCGGTAAATGCCCGACAGCAGTAGCGAAGGAGTTGCCGCAACGACTCAGGACGGCAGCGTTAATGTGTGATCGTTTCGAAACAATGGACGACGAAGCCGGTCCCAACATGACCGTCTTCCTATCAGTCGGCATTCTAGTCGAGTTCTTGGCCAACTACATGCATTTGGTGGCTATCGCTAGGACGGGACCGGCTCAACTTCACTCGTTCGACCAGCTTTCTTGGTGCGAATTGCGAAGCAGACTCGGGCCTCAGCTACCCAGAACTTTCGTGAAGAGATGATCGCCGTTGAAGTCCCTGTTGGTCAAACGCATGTTGAGAAGTGGATGGTGCGAAAACCGAATATCCATTCTTGAATGTCACGACTCTTTTATGACTACATACTACCTGTCTTCCATCACAAGAAGGGAGAGAAAGGGCATCTCTCAAGCGCATTGCACGGCATCCAAGTGTGGGGCCTACAACACATCCGAGGGCACCTACAAGATACAACATTACGATGATAATTGCAGTTGCGACTTTCGCAGCGTTGATGAGGAGAAGGTGGTTGCGATGATAGCTAATGGTGACATACCCTTAGTATCAATGCGCCAGACTATCGATCAACATGTGGAGTTAGACGTCATTCCGCTAACCCCGGACATCCAATACACGGCAATCTCGCATGTATGGATAGACGGGTTGGGCAATTCGGAAGCTAATGCGTTACCGACATGTCAGCTGCGACGTCTTAATCGCGATCTTAGGATGCACCAACGAACGACAGCGCTGCGCATCAGATCCTTAAGTCAACGCATCCTCTTTCTACCCCTCCAAGAAACCAAAGTCACGTTTTGGATGGATACACTGTGTATACCAGTCAAGCCAGAGCAGAACTCGCTCCGAATGAAGGCCATAAACCTGATGGCTTTCATTTACTCTGGTGCTCAAGCAACTTTGGTTCTGGACAATGAACTACGACAGTTGCGTCGAGACGAAGAGCCTCCAGAGAGCTTCTGGGCAAGATGCCTCGCATCCAAGTGGAACAGCAGGTGCTGGACCTTGCAAGAAGGCCTCTTGGCTAGAGAGTGTCTTTTCCAGTTCCGCGATTGCGCTCTTAAAGTCGAGATCGACTGGGATATCGATCCCACACTTTCTTTCAGAGCTGTATGGAAATCCCGAAAAGATCCTATTAAATTGATGAGAGCCTTCTGGTGTCTTCGATATCGCATATTTGTATGGAACCGCTGGACTTTTTGGGATACTACAGACCGTTTGCCACAATGGATGTTATGCAACGACCTACGCCTTCAATTCAACAAACAGTCCCAAACAGGGGCGAAGGGGCTAGAGATTAGGGAGAACAGAACGAAACTCGACGAAAAAATTGCCTTCAAACACTTTGTCACTATTTGGAACGCCCTCGGAAAACGTTCGACAACAAAGAATGATGACATCCATGTCATTCTTGCAAACCTCACAGATTTCAAGGCCTCTGAGATTCAAGCTATACCTGAGCTGCAGGAACGCACCAAGGTCATGCTGCATTGTATGACGTTCTTTCCTGCAGCCCTGATGTTCAGCCCTGCAGATCGTCCAATTTCGGCAAAGGACCATTTCGACAGATGGGTGCCAGCAGCGCCGAGGCCCAGAACCCCTGAAGACACTACTTCAGGGCAACCTCTTGGCTTACACCGCCGAAGATTCCGGACAAGCCATCTTCATAACAAAGCCGGAACACAATTCTGACGGTGGATTCTTTCTTTTTGAGTCTAAGGGGATGATCACCGATCCATTCTCTGTCAGGATACAGCACCGTGGAAAAGTATGGCTATGCGACCTGGTCTGCCACGTCCCTCCACTGGACAAGCTTCCCTGCGACGCGTCTCAACAGTGCGTCCTAATTCCCGAACTAGATTCTGCTGGAGAGACCAGGCCAGCTCTTCGGGGAGCTAGGTTGCTGTGTCTCGGGCACTTGGATCGTGAAGAGGAAGATGGCCTCCAACTGGCTATCACCCGATTTGACTGTCCTCTGTCGGGAACTTGCCAGGTGACGAATGAAAACCTGTCGTTCTTTTCAGAGGAAATTAATGCCTAGCCAAAAATTCTTCCCAGTGTCCAACGTCTGGCGGTTGGTTGTTGCTAGTTATCCCCTTTCTTTTTGCTCGGAACGCAAAGATGACTGACGATTGCGACAGCGCCGAAACCCGGCATTCGTGCGAAATATACATTGCGTAGCAGAGATTTTTGTCATCGTAGATCATCCTGGGATGGAGACGCCGCCCTAATCATTGCAGTATCCACCGTGACACTCTGCTTTTCCATAACACATGTTATATGTCTTCAGCACAGCTTGCCGGAGCGTGTAGTAGCCTCCATATTTTGATATTGTTTGGGCTTTGCGTATTGGGATATTTTGGGGTCCAAGAATGGAGAGAGGAGAGAGCTTATGAGCTCTGGAAGAAAACATATCAGGATGACTGAACGCTGTCAAACAAAGGGCATCTCTGAAAAGCAACGTTAGTCGCGAGGTGATTAAGATAGTTTCGAAACACTTCACGTCCATGTTCCTGACTTCAACATTCGTGACGGCATCAGTCTCCCAACCCAAGAAATAGACACCATTGGGGTTTCTCGCTGGATGGCATGCCTTACTAGGCAGGAGCAGTAGCAGTAATGCTCGGAACGCTCGAAGCAATCCGTAGCAGCAGAGGCTGTGGCCAATAACGCCTATCACGGCCAATTATGGAAGCGAAGACGGACCTGCGATGAGTGGTGGGAGCAGAGATCTACTGGCCGTGGTGAGCAGTCATTAGGAGCAGACGGAAAGGGAAGGAAACAATAGGATAAGAGAAAATCTATGAACATTCGCTGCGACCGTTTCACTCGTCCTGCCAACGATGCCAACTTCAAGTCAGAAGCACTAGACAGTCTCATGTTCATCAAAAAGGTTTCCATAATTGGGGGGTCCAGCATCATAACGAATCTACTGCATCTCTCCCAGTTAGATCGCTTCGAAAACCATCTAGTCCATCCGAAAGCCAGACCTCTTTGACTGGTGAGGATGTGCAAGTAAAGCAGAAATTCGCCAAGATAGTCAAAAGGTAAGGGAAACCCACTAGATGAAGTCTGGTTTTCAGCGCTTGCCAATGAAAAGAAGCAAGAAGAAATAGTTGAACTAAAATAAACACCCAATAATCATTTTCTAGTAAGGAAGTTCAAGGTAAAGAATGAGCTATCCAGTATTGAACATAAGAGACTTTTTAGTCACGCCAGTACTGAAAACCCCCTCGTGGCTGTTCTTTCCTCTTTTGTCGGGAATCGCGCGGCACCTTCCTCAAACCTGCCGCGTTCCCACTGCCTTCTCTCGCCTGCTTTTCGTCTTCCGCCCAACAAATTTCAACTTCACCTCTTTCTTACCCACCGAACACATAAAATTACTCTCTCAAACAAACATCTATGATTCAGGCAGCGTCGGAGCTCGGAAGCGGCCAAGCTACCTAGGAGCTACCTAGGCTCTTCCACGTATCGGTCCGCATTTTCTGATCCCACCGTACACAAGCCCACGACGACGACGACATACCTTTACTTCCGGTACGGCTGCTCTTCGATGTCGTATCAAACGGAGCAGACGCCGGCCCTTTGCAACTTACAGTACCTCTTTTGTCCGGCGTGCGCCGTATTCAACGCCGTTTCCCCTATCTCATCGCGCATGCTACCTTCCGAGGATTAGCACATGATCTCCTCCTGCTTTCAAGCAATCAAGCTGATATTAATGACTAGGGCACACATTGACCAAAAAGATGGCAAGAATCTCGACACTCCCCATGGAGCTCATTCGTGAGATCTGTCATCACTCCGCGACGGCGACGACCAAGTCGACTGCAAACGAGACTGGAAACTCGAGCAGAATACACTCGCAAAACTTTGCAGAACCTCCAAAGTGTTTGAAGAGATTGTTCGGCCTTTCCTCTACAGTCGCATTGAAGTAACCATTGACCACGACATGTTGATCTCGCTCCTCCGAACTTTCATAAGCCGCAGCGACTTGTCTCACAGTGTGAGACACCTCAAACTCGAATCAAACTGGGTCAACCCTTACAAGATTAGACTGGGCGATACTGACATCGCGAACTTCACCGAAGCTGTTCTGAAATGGTGGACAAGGCTTATCGGTTATCCTGCCAACTTGTACGTTGACGTTGAACAACCGAACATGTTGATGGATGTTTTATACACCCATGCGCCAAATGTCGAAACGATGCGCGTTTGTCTGGCAGGGGGAGATTACGTCCTCGGAATGGCGAAGCCATCTTTTGTGCTCCAGGATGTATGCCATCGCAAGCATCTCCCACACCAAGTCCCGCTGGGTCGGCTCACGTCGCTAGATATTAACATTGAGAAATCTGGCCACGAACTCTACCACCCAAGAGTCGAGGGACTATTTACTTTACTGTCGACAAAATTCATGAGTCTTTCTTTTCGGAATTACTACGCTTTGAAAGGGTTCGTACTCCGCCATCTCAATGTACAGGATCAACACTGAGAACGGATCTGTTATCATCATTCAGCATGTACCAAATGCCAGAAAACATCTTGGGTAGCCCGGATGGGTAACTGTGGCGGTTTTGGTCGGGGCTGCGGTACGGCTTACTGTGATGCGGCATTGACAGCCGATAAGGCAACCCTGGTCATTGTTTCGATCGAGACTTGGTGTGGTTGGCTTGGCATCTGATCAGATTGAAGCGACTACTGTAGGACTCAATGCACGTCTATCCTTGGAGGCGGGCTCCGGAACCCCAGCGACGGCAGATGCAGTGATCGACATGGCCCAGTGGTCTCGTTCCGACTAGTGGTACGGCTTCGAGATGGTGGGCAGACTGAACGACCCGCACCGGCAGGACGTATTGCCAGAATTGAGAGTTGGTGGCACGTCGTTGGCGATACTGGCCTTGTTCATCGTGCTTGAACAGATGCGCCACGAGAGTCTCGCGTCGTAGGCGAGATACCTGCCAGTGCACTCTTGGTCAAGCGCGTCGATCTGCCAGGCTGCTCAACGGCTCGACTGCTGCACTTATGTACATCGGGTCAGTGTAGGATACTTCACGTTCGATGGGCCAAGGAATAAACGTGAGGAGAGCCGACGATCTCCTGCGGTGTTGCTCACAAGATGCCTTGGGACGGGAGCGATGCAGGCTGATCGGACGGGGTAGCATCCCTCGTCGCCTTGTACACCCCCTCTCAAGCCTTTTGCAGTAAGCTTGCGAGCCACACGCAGCAAGCTGTGTCGTGCGACAACGTCT